CCCAGTGTATTCCCCATTGTGTGTCTGCTTACTCTCTTGTAATCCCTTCCTCTCCAATCTCCACTCTGTGGGGGAGGGGAGGATGGTGAGGCACAGGAGAGATTGCCTAGAGATTGCTTGTTTTTTTTCCTTTCTCCTTGCAGAGTGGACAGATTATTTAAACAAGCAAGGGTGGGGGAGAAAAAATTGTCATATAGAATAAAGTTGATAAGACAGCAGCACTGCATTTCTAGAGAAAGCTCTAGTTTTCTTTTCTTGGAACTTGCTGATTAGCATCTTTAAACTAATGAGTTTTGAGCTGCTAATGGTGAGAGCATAATATTCCACTGGTCCTTTATCAGCTGCCTAGGCAGCTTTAAAGAATATTTTTGCTTTGCATATTCTTTGGGGTTTCTGTAGAATTATTGTTACTACAGTACATAAATATCAGTAAAGTATATAGACAAAAAAAAAATAACATCCAGTAACAATATTTAAAACCAGTTTTATCATGGAAACCTTGTATCATGCCAATGGATTTTCAGTCATAACAAAATTATATGCTTTCATGCCAAATTTCCTGAGGAAAATTCTTATTCATTTTATTGTATAATACAAAGGACAAGTTTCTGTTGTTTCCATACAAGTTGTCTAGGTACTTTTCCAGTTTTGCAAATGATTTGTTTTGTTCTTAGCTATAGGCTTTGACTATGAATAATTGAACAACTGTCAAGAATATCCCCTAAAAACACCATCTCTGAAATGTGGTCATAATAGAATAGAAAGGATTTAAGAAATGATATTTTTAATACTTGTCCAAAAAGTTGCAGTGGTGAAACTTGTATGCATGTACAAGATCTGCACTTGGATAATTGCATCTCCAACATTTATATGAATCCATAATTTTAAACACCTAGATGAAAGCCAGTAAGCATGATATCTTTTAAAATAGATCATCAATAGTTTCTTATTCCAGAGAATTCTTGCAGTATCTTGTTGACTTATCCAGAGCATAATTAGAGCTGCTGCCTTTCTTACATTCACAATATTATATGCTTGCTAATATTGATATGAGAAGACAATTTCTCACTAATAGAATCAAATTATTGATCTCAGGAGAAGATGGATATGTGAATTTGTGTATCCCATACTCCTAAATGAGATCCAGAAGCACAATTTTGCCTTTTGTTTTGCAGGTCCCTTTTCTTCCTGTCCTTCCAGTCCTGAGCATCTTTGTGAATGTTTATCTCATGATGCAGCTGGACAGTGGCACCTGGATACGGTTTGCCATCTGGATGGCAATAGGTAACTTTCAACTCTGCGAAATGATGACATTCTTGTTCATATAGGCAGAATACTGAACACAGGACATTTTTGCTGGCTTTCAGTGGAGTTCAGATTCTTTACTACTGTGGTCAGAACCCTTAAAGCTGCGACTGAGTAATCTTCCATACAGTATGAGGTTCCCAGGCATTAAAAAAATTTAAAGATTAAAACCAGGCATCTTGATAAGCATGGCAACAAATTGTCAACCCAGGCAGCTAGTATGAAACACTTGACTGTGTCTGCTCACACACATTAAGACCTGGGAGTAGCCTTTAATTACTCCAATTAAGTCTTTTACGCCATCTCCAGGAGTAGGCCCATATAAGGTATTTTCTGATAATTAAGCTTGGAAAGCAGGCAGGAAACATGACAAGTTCTGATCTATGCAGAATTGTAATAGAGTTCCCTATTTTTGGTAGAAAGCATTCTGCAAAGTATCTCTGACTTGCTTTTCAAATCAAATTACTAGAAAAACTCATGCCTCAGCCATACTGAACTGTGATTCAGGGGTACAAGTAGTCCTTGACTTACAACAACAATTGGGACTGGAATTTCCATTGCTGAGCGATGCAGTCATAAAGTGCAACCGCATCGCTTAGTGATGGCAATACCTGCAGTCCTGATTGCCGTTGTTAACTGAATTCCATGGTCGTTAGGCAAGGCAACTTCATGCCAGCTTCCCACAACCAAAGTCAGTGGGGAAGCCAGCAGGACGTTGCACGTCCCAGGCTGGCAGGCAGGCAAGCGGCTGCGACTGGGTGGGGGAGGGGGGGGTTGGGGGGAGGGTCAGAGAGGGTGCGTGAAGGTGCAAGTGGATGTGCAAGAGGTGCCACACAGGTTGGGGAAGGTGTGCAAGTGGCTGGTGTGAGTGCAGAGGGACTGGGGAGGGTGCGCGGGTGGGAGAGACTCACCCCAGTGACTTACGACCATTTGTTCAGTGACCTTTCAAAGTTACAACAGTACTGAACAAATGGTGGTTATGACTGCTCCTTGGAGTTATGGGCATCCGAGCGCCCCTGTGGTCACATGATCAGGCAGGAAGGTTGTAAATAGTGATCGCGTGACCACAGGGGTGCTTGGACAGCTGTAACTCCAAGGACCACTCATAACCACTGTTTGTTCAGTACCGTTGTAACTTTGAAAGGTTGCTGAATGAATGGTCATAAGTCAGAGACTACCTGTATTCAAGTTTTTGGATCTTCCATATGAGCATCACCTCATGTTGTATTGTGTTATATTCATTACAGCTAGAGATTCATAGCAAAGCTTATGTAAGTCTTGATACATCCTGTGTGCTGCCACATATGTTCCCTAATGCTACTCCACTTTCCTCTTTCCTCCAGGCCTGGTTATATATTTTGGCTATGGCATGTGGCACAGTGTAGAGGCATCTTATTCAGCACCAATGGATCAAGAAAGAAGTACAGATAACAATCTGGACACCTGTAAATGATAGCCCTCTTGCACAGAAGGGTATTGAGCTATTACTGCACAGCAGGATGCTTTCTCTCTGGGACTCTGAAATACTTTGTGTGTGTGTGTGTGGAATATCAGGTGGGCTCTCACATCCCCTTTAACATGGTGATGCAGCTGGGAGGGATCACAAGTCAAAAAAACCCTAGCCCCTGATGATACACTCCCAACAATACTGTTACTTAGTGCTGACAGCTCTTTCTCTTCTCTGTCCTTTGATTAGAAGTGTATACAAAGAAAATTGCTTTCCAGGGTGCCAACTTACTTCCAATGTTGCTGTGAGAACAAGATTCTCAGAGGCTTGCAAATTAAGTCCTGGGTACTGGGATGGAGCACATGCTCTATAAGGTTTCTTCAAAATCATCTCTACTACAGCACTAGAACTAAAGGGTTTTGTCTAAAACAAACCCAAACCAAATCATACATAAACCCTCTTACATGTTTATAAAATGTACCCACTTCCCAAGACTGAAATGAAAAGAAAAGGAGTGGGTAGTGTTATTTAAATCTTGTGCTTAACATTTTTAAACAGGAGGGGTGCCTGAGTTTTGAAACCCAGTTGTTGCCGCAACGGTGAACAACCAAGGCTTCCTGCAGCCCTCAAAGGCTTTTGTGCAAGCTGAATTCCTCTCTTGTGCTTCAAGCAGCTGTGTAAATGTGTAGTAGAGTCTGTGGCTCATGATAGAATTGTTGCGTAGAAAGTATGGCTTTCAGGTGTGCAGATCTGCCAAATCAAGGGCAACTGCTTGGTTGGGATGCTGTTCACATCTCAGATCAGACAGTCCTGGCCAAAGGCAGGCCTTTCTCATCCTTGTATTTCATCATAACGTCGTGAGGTAGCTCTCCAATTCTCCCAGGGGCTGAGAGAAAGCAACAGTTTCCTTTGATAAAGATGGAACTGAACACTGGGTTCTTGGGTCAAAATCCAGCATTGTCTTTACTGTTATGTTTTAAGTAAGAAATTTACATTCATATTTTATGAAGAAGGAAAGTTGTGACAAATACAGCTTTTCTGGTGCAGAGTAGGAACCAGCTTTAGTTTTTGTCTGGCTGGAATATTTGGGACTATGGAATACAAGTTTCTCACCTTACACTGTTAGGTCTGACTTCCACAAATAGGGCATCAGATTTAAAATTAAAAGTGTGTTAATGCCCCTGTTAGGCAAAGATGGGACTGGGGAAATCATAGAAGAATCTATGCAGAGGGAGAGTCACCTCCTTCTAAAAATGTGGCTTTCCAAAGGGAGGGGAAAAGTCCACACATCAAATAATATTGATGCTTGCTGTTTTGATTTGTGAAGATATTCAAGTAAATAGTGTAGATTATTATTGTATTTTTTCTTTCACATTGTTAACCTCAGAGGCTTGAATTTATTATTATGTGTATGTGGTATTTATGTCTAGCCCCTTGATGTGTTGCATTTGAGCAAACTATATGGAAAACAATGGCACTTAGAAGAAAGGAGAATCATTTCATAGAGGGATTATGCTTATTTTGTGTGAGGAAATTTAGAAGGGGGGTATTTATTTATGGCACTCCCTGTATGTGTTTTGTCCAGGTTGCACCCTAGCAATAACATTATAAGATGTGAATTTTGACTCAAGGTTTTCCCGCCACCATGGCAATTGCTGAGAATTTCAGTGGTTATATCTACCTGTCTGGAAGGTTAAACAGAGCTGTTGCAGACAGTGCTGATTCAGATGGACCAATGACTTGATATAGGGCAATTCTATTTATCTGGTACATCAGCAGCTTCCATTTGCCATCACAAAAGTCTGTGAAGGCCACAATTACAGTTATATGAGGATGTTCTTTTTAAAGGGCTTCAACGTTGAATAATTGACAAATGCCCAACTTAGTCTGAATCAGCCAGACCTTTATCAGGTAAGCTGGCCAGGCTACTCAAGGTGGTTTGGGAGGCCCTTATGGTTGGCTAGAAAATGTTCCTTTCATATGAAAATTTATATATGACTTGAAAATACCTAAAACTTTGCTGCTGGACTCTTCTTCTGAATACCATCTTACAGGTCACATGCAGCCTTGTTTTAGAGTCTGTGAGTAAGATGGAGCTAGTTTTGAACTCTTCACTATTAACTGGATCAGCCTTCCTTTGTGGATTGTTTCACACATGACAAAAGTCCTTTGCAGAAATCTCTTCTGTGTGGTTGCATTTCATATCATCCATGCTGGTTGTAACCTTGTACTTGTTATTAAAATACACCCTAATGCAACACTGCCTTTGAAAATGGCTTAGAAAGCTGTTGTCAGACTTCCTACAAAAGTCAAATACTTGGTTATTAAAGTGACTTCTAATTTCTCCATTTCTGTTCTTATTAAGTAGATAAATCTATACTGCATGTGGGCAGAGGATGAAACTGAAAACGGCCTGAAGAATTCTCAATTTGGCAATTGCATTTGCAAAACACAGTAAATCCATACATTATAATTTAGTGTGGTTGGGTTGCAGCATTTAGTATACTTCATTTTTAAACTACCATGGAAAATAGTATTAGAAAAAGCCTTAAAACACCAAGCATCATGTTTTATCCTGTATGCTACATGCATGCAGTAGAAAGCTATTGTTCCTTTTCAGATGTGGCATTCATGGAGATGATTTCAGAAGGAAATTCGGTCATGTGTGAAGGAATCTTGAGAACACTTTTTCACATATACACTACTCATGGAAAAGATCACATATTAACAAAAACAGTATCCTAGGATAATGGGCCTCAAGTCTCATCTTCAGCTTTCACAGTTCCCACAGACTGGGAATTATGGGAGCTGAAGTCTGATCCATCCCAACGTCATCAAGATGAGAGACATTGTTCTAAGTAAGGCTGATACATATCCAAGACTTACATAAGGTTTGCTTTTCCTCTCACTTGAGATTCTACAAGACGAGGTATTGGGCCTTTCTGGGAGAAGGACTTGCTGAGAGCCTCTTGTGGGATATTCTGACTAATGCTAGTTGCTTCTGTCTCTATGGGGAGGTTTCAAGCTCCTGGTCCTATTCAGGGAGCAAGACAGGGAGTAGAGAGCAAATTTCCTTTTCCCTGTAGTCAAACCCTGGGCCAGTAAGTAAACAAACAAATGAAAACCCCAAAAACAGCTGTACTGCCTCTAGTACTGAAACCCAAACAGAGAAACATACAAAAGCTTGAGGTCTAGTGGTGAAAACCTGAATGATGCTGCTGTAAGTTTGCTAGAGTGAAGTATAGACTGGCATTTATTTGAGCTGGTCTTTGTAAATACATGAGTAACTATTATTTTGTTTTAATATGAGGATTATTTTGTGTAGCTGCTAGGACACTTTCCTTTCTATAAAATCATATTCTAAAGTGTTTCTAAAGACTCATGGCTCTCCCAAAGAAAATGTACAGTTTTTCTCTGTAAGGGAAGGACCTATCAAAAGTTGTGTTTTTGAATCTAAGATAGTCACTGCTACTTTCAGGAACTGCCTGCTTTAAAATCTTACTAGGTTTTTATTAGCATAAGCCCAAATTTGCAAGCTCTGTGTGTGTGCAAGTAAAAAAAAGTTACTTTAGGTAGCTTGATAGTCTTGAAATGCATTTGAATTGCATCTCTTAAAACTGGTGTAGTATTCTGAAATTTTTAATTCTCCATATCTGGAGGATATCTAGTTGGGAATAAGTGTTGCTTCTTAATGCAACAAGGGGAAACACGTGCAACATGAAACAAAGTTGACAATTTCTACTTGATCAAGCCATTACTCTAAAAGTCAGTTTTACTAAGTCATATTTATGCACAATAATCTCCAAATTAATTCCAGTTGCAGAAAAGTATGCATTGATAAGCTTTTCAGGAGCAACAGATTGCTTGTTCTTAGTTCCTTCTGAAACCAACGGCAGTTATCAGAAGTCTGGTAGCACCTTTTTCAACTAAAGGCAGAACCTTTTGAACATGTTCCGACTCCTGCTTTTTTGCTGCTGTAGACTCACATGGTTTTTTTCTTCCAATGGCATTTATGTATATTCTATTCATACACATTTGAAACTTTTATATTGTGAACTAAGATGCAATCTATTTTGTTAATTATTTCAAAAAGTTTTACAATTGTGTTCAAAGCGTTTTATTTAAATTTGTATATTTTGGTAATTATTTCTGCCTTTTGTGTTCAGTCATCATATCCACTTTTACCCAGCGCATTGAGAAATGAGAGAATTTTCACCAGCACTCAACAAGCAGTAAAAATTTTAACCTAGTCAGTAAAAACTTGCATCTCATCAACAGTTTTCAGTTTTCTATTCTTATTTTCATTAATCCTCCAATCAATGCCTATGTTGTTCATGGAACCATGTTACAAACACTGGATCATAAAATAGTCTGAAAAAAATCAGGATTTTTAATTCCTTCCCTTCAAGCCATTTTTTAAAACAAATACTTCATTAAATATATTTATCAATTTGTGAATAGATAATTATGAACAGGAGGCAGCAGCTTATAAGTGGCTTGCTTCAAATGTAGAATCAATATGTTTTCAAGGGTGTATGAACAGAAAAACTATGTTCAGATATATGCGGTAACAGAATTTGTATTATCACTCACTTTAGTAGGAACAGATTCCATATTACCTTCATTGTGTTACAATATTGAAGACTGGGTGAACATCCTATATATGTCCCAGTTTGAATGTGTGTGTGACATTATATCATTGCCCATTATCTTATTGGGGGGTAGAGGAGAGAAAGGATTATATTTATATGTGACTTTCCCTGTTAAACAGCTGATCATCACTTTTTGTCATTTTCTGATAATTTGCATATATCTACACACATGCACACATACACGCAGAGCCTGCACAGCGTGAGCAGGTGGTTGTAGAAGGAACTGTTTTTCTCTGTCATTTGCATGTACTAGATTTCTCATCTAACAAGGGATGTGTTTCCATAGCTGTGTGCCATATTTGGCAAGGTCAATGTGCTTCATGTATATGATGCTATCTCATTTAATTGCTAATTGCAATCTGTTGCCTTTTAGTATGTATCTCTGATTTTACTATGTGGTATATTTACAGGGTAACAAAATAGTCTTATTTAAGTTGTGCAAAAGGAGTTCTTAAACTATGCGATGGACCTCTTCTGCATTTACCAAAATTCAAAAGAATGTTGTACAGATGCTACTTTTGGGTATAAATTCTTACAAAAGGATTCATACATGCAGCTTTGACTGTGGTAGAGTTAAACATATATGAAGTAGACTTTTTTTAGAAAGGAAGAGAATGCAGTAAAGTTCTATGGATGTTTATCTTCACTGTAATTAGAACTTTGTAGTTAGTTGAAGCTGCAGTCCTAAAAACACCCTCTCAAGGGATAAAGCGCTATTGAAAATAGTAAACCTTGCTTCTGAGAAATTGTGCGTAGGATAGTGCTACATATTTAAATGCTGTATACTACTGAAATGATATTGTTGGTGCCTTCTTGTGATACTGAGGGAAGTGCAAGAACTTTAGAAAAACTTAACATGGAAATATCAGTAACTTTTTTCCCAACCTCTTATTGCAGGGTTCCACAGTCTGCTGCCCTTTATGTGTATTGGACTAAAACAATATGGCCAGTGGGCACCAGGTTGGGGAAGCATGTTTTTACTGTTTGGTAATAAATTCATAGTAGATGGTTCCCCATTGCAGAAATGGTTAATATTTGGTAATAGGATTGTGCAAAGCATTTGAAGGAGATGGCTTGCAGAGAACCTTTCAAGTATGAATGCAGACACAGCCTTCATAAGGCTTGTATGACTGGTTTGAAGGCTGTCTCTGTTCATCTGCGTGTGTGTGCAGAGATCACACGGCAGGACCATCAGAAAGCTGTGAATGTAAAGAATGTAAATGCATGTAAAGACAACCAGGGCAGCTTTTGAAGCAGCTGGGTAGCCTTGCAAAGGGTTTTTTGTTTTTGCAATAGTAATGTACTTTGTAAGCTACCACTTCCACGTGCTTTGCACAGCTCTGTTTGTTAGAGAGACCCATGATAAGAATACATCCTGTAACACTCCTTATTTCTGAAGCAGAGGCCAAACCTTATGGAAACAGTGCCTGTTTAAAAAAAAAATCCAAACCGAGAATTCCTCAGGGTATATTTTCTCATTCTTCTTGGCACATGTCCGAAGAAAAATCCTATCAAGTTTATTAAGTTTCTAGATGGTGAGGGATCTTAACCAGATCACACTCATGCCTCGTTTTGCAAATGATGGAAGGGTAGTGACTGGCGTGCCTGATAAAATGAAGGGGTTCCTCTCTTTTTGATGTGCCTTTCAATGTACGTCTGCTCTCAGGAGTACAAAGAATCAACGTGGCACTGTTTGGGGTTGTATGTTACAATCTGTTGGAGAATATGGTGGTTTCTTCAGGAATACCCACCTTTTGCTAACCAAGAAGCCATGAAAATAATTTGTCCATATTTTTACTGAGTAAAATGTATATAAGTTTTTCTTCTATTTTTCTAATGATTTTTCTCAGAATTTATAATAGGTTCGGATACAGTTATTTGAACCGTGATCCTATCTGATGCTTTTCCTTCTGCCTCTTGAGTGGAGCGGCTTTGTTTGGATTTTGGTTTCTCCCTTCCTTCAAATACGAAGCTTTGTTTTTTTGCTTGAATTATGAAACTTTATCCAGAGCATGACCTCTGCTTCAATAACAAACCTCTGTTGAGCGATGCTGTAAATATCTCCCTTTGGAGAGTGAAGTTTTTGCTTTTGTTTTTTTTTGTTTTACTTTAGGGTTGTTCTAATAAACGTGTTTCTGTTGAATAAATCAGCGGCATGTAATTGCTGTTCTGTGTAAGAACCCAACTTCTGACTTTTGCCTTTTGGTTTTCAATTCCTTAGTAACGCTAAATAGCTTTTGTGCCTCTTAAGACTGCTGTGGTCTTCATAGATTTTTTTTTTTTAGTAACCATTTAAACATGTAAGTTTCTTAGGATGGGATGTGCCTTCTACCACATTTTTCTGTTCCGCCTCCCCAGTAGCTATTGCGGGGAAAGGCAGAGTGTAGTTGACTTGATTTCAAAAGCTATCTGCATTGGATTGAATTTATCTGGAAAAAATAAACTGTCTTACTGCAGCAGCTCACAGAGAAGATGATAGGAAGATGGCGAGAGGGTGGGTGACAGAGATGGGCCCTTCTTACCATTTGCTTTTGTCCCCCACAGGTTACTTAAATGGGAAAAAAGACACACAGCTCCCATGGAAAAACAGCACAGCAGGAAAGAGGGGCTTAATGCTGTATGCAGTGTCATGTTCTTTGGAACACAATGTCAAAAAATTACCTGATCCCAAAATAGCAGCGTTCAATCATAAGGGCACCATAAAATTTAGAACACCACAGAGATAATGCAACACATGTAAAATGCATTATGGGAAAGAAGAAAAGAAATACACATGCATCACTTTGCAGGCAACCGCTGCATAGCATATTGCAAAATTATTTTCCGTTGCATTATATTCAGCTACAATGCAAATATACAGCATTTCTGATGAGTGAGGAATTGCTGGAGTGAGGGAAGTACTGTGTTTCAAAACACAAGGACATTACAAACCAAATATTTCTCCTTAGCCCAGTTTATGATATACATTGATTTCATACATGGGGCCCTAATGTACTTATGGGGAAATTGGACTTTGAAAAGACAGCAAGCATGTGAGTTCTCAACCCGGTAAGCTTTAATGAAAAAGTAAAATTTATTCATAGTAATGAAACTACTTTATGGTTTCCTTTATTCATCAAGATTAGGTGACTGATTTGGTTTTTATAAAGTAAATGCCCAACTTTGGTAGATGTTGCGAAGCTACAGAAAAAACTACTGAAACACCATAATGTAATGCTGGAGCATGTATTTATTACCATGAATATATTACACACACCTTTACACAGTAACTGAAATAATACAAACTTTTTCTTCTAATTCATACAGCCATGTATTGTCAGACCACAAACCCCTACTACAATGGTGGGGTGGTGGGTGGGCAGGAGACACTTTACATGAAGGTCCACCATATGTCCATGGGACACAAATGCAATTGGTGCAGACCCTAAAATACCTGATTTGGGTTCTTTAATCCCAAATATATCTTTGGGTTTGTATCTGGCTGATTTATTGATGAGAAACGTGACTTATAGCTATCTCTTCAAAGTACTTTCAAATGTAGCCAAAACATATCATCTCATTTTACTTTTCTACCTTGTTTCCTTCATGGATTACTTTGAAGAACCTTAGGCAAACTAAGGAAGAATTTTCTGGGATAATTTGGTGGCCAGAATGAATTTTGAGGACTTCCAGGAAATACAAATCTTGGATGTAGGGAAACACAATTCATAATTATTTGTATCTGCCACATCTTGTTCAAGGCTCAGAGATGTGTACTGTAGTACTGTATTGCCACACTTGTCCCTAAAAGGAGGAGTAGGGTTAAAATGAGACTGCACTCTTGGTTTTTGGATAAGACACAACAATTTGGTGAAAAGAATGGCAAGTGTGCTATGCTTCCAGCACTGCACTGCACCCTAAAGCAATCCCCAGTAAGTCATGTCCAAGGCAATCCATTCACTTTTCAGGGCAGTTGTTTTAGTCTAGTGTGTTAAGTGTAGTAGGAGACATTTTGACCCTGACCTATTTCCATTTGGATCTTCAAATACTATACCAAATCCACACATGGTCCAGAATGTGAAACCATCCCCAATACTTTCAAAACCCTACATTAAAATATTGTCAATCTAGGGCAAGCCTTCTATTTAAAGATAAATTATCTGGGGGGTGGGGAGGAAAGACTCACCTAATATATCAATATAATACAGCAGCATTTATGCCACCATACATTTAGCAAACTGCAAGGCAACTTTGGGATGCCACAGAAAAGAAGTGTGGTTGCAGTCACATAACAGATGTAACCAGATTCTTTAAAAACCCAGTTTTTATTCATAGATGTTAAATTTGTTAGCATTAACCTATGTGTCTGTGTTACTATGTTGTACAAGTTCAGCCTGTTTTATTAGTTTACCATTATGTGAGATCAAAAAATGGGTTTATTCAGAAACAAGCTTAAGTGGGCTGTGTGAATGCAGTCATTAGCTCTTCCTCCAAGAGATGAGGGGTGGGTTCTATGCAGATCTGTAGTATGCCTATCTCACTGTGGGGAAGATAATGTTTAAAAATCCCAGTTCAGATAGCAGCTCTTGAAACTGCATTGGGTTTCTTTCTTGAATGGACTGAATCTATACGCTCAATGAGAAGAATGGGAAGATGAATAAAGTTATGTCATGTAATGATAGCCTGTCCTGAATCCTAACACACATCTGGAACTTGGAGATGCCAACTTACTGTTGTTTGGGGAGTTCTCTCAAGCCTGGCTTTTTACTTCCTAAATCTTTCCAGGAGTATCATTGACTCATTGGGTAGAGTTCTCTCATTTTTTCTTTCCAGTACTGCAATTACTAGAATGTAAGATTCAAAAGAGTATTTTGCAGCCCCTCTGCCCCACACACTTGGAGCAACTGTCTCCAACATTGAACTGGAAATTATAGAAGCTGATTGCAGCTAACCTAGGTTGGAAGAGGAATAGCACACCTGGCATTTGCAATAAAATGCCCACCAGAACTATGAAGAACATAGTTCAGCCTGCTCTGTGCTTGTGAAATGGAAGCTGCACAAAACAAGTTTATTTTAATTTTATACAGTGCTCTAGTTTCACAGAACTAGTATTGTTGGGCTGTTGGACTATCCCTATTGTGTATCTTCATTACTTTTATATATTGCAGAGGAGCTGGTCACACAGAAAGTCATCAAGAAAGTTACATTAAGTGAGCCAAAGTATTTTGGCAGTCCCGTTGAGATTGTTGCCTTCTGTATCAATCCTTCATGCCATCTCAGAAATGGCTTTAACTTGTTTCAGAAGTGGTTTGCTATGGTGGTACAATGGCAGTGGTGAACTGGGCTTTCTTCTTGGAAACCAAACCCTAGATGTGGGGTTTGCAATGTAATATCATGCAAATGATAGTTTTCTGCTAAAGATTCAAAGGAGTGAATTATGATGCAGAAGGAAAAAGTGGCCCTTGCTGTTGTTAAGGAGGCAGAAAATAATCAGTACAACATAACTGAGAAAGGGCTATCTTCTAGTTTGCCATATGCATAGAAATGACAATTGGGGATGAGCTTTTGTAGGCTGCCTCTGACAACCGTCGGCTGAAATCCCCATCGTAGTTGGAAGCATTATGTATGGGGGAGAATGAAACAACTTCAACAGAGATGCCAATGGGCAAATCACTCACCTGCTCATGACTAGCTCCATAACCTGTAAGCAGAGACTGATACATAACTTCTAGGGCAATAGAAGATCAAATATATGAACATCATGATAATATGGATTACACGAGCCAACACTGTTCACAATGATAACATAACAAGTGGACGAGTGTACTGGGTCTTCAGGTACTCTGTGTCTTCAGGTATTTAAGTATGAAAAGTGGATAAAATTGCATTAGTAAGTCATCACTACTTTCCTGCTCTCAATTCATTTTGCCCTTATGCAAAATCTAATTCTGCAGTTTGTGTTACTTACAAACATGACATGAGCTAATCTAAGATGATGTTCTTAGTATCATAGTATCATGCAAGGCAGCTACAAAAATAAATTTCCTAGGGGGGGGAAATCAATCTTGTTACTTTGTACACCACGGAATTAGGCCACAAATCTGTGGCAATCAGACAATGCTGGCTAGCTCTTGAATGGCAGCTTAGGCCTCACCGGTGATTCCCAAACACTAAGCCGACTCTCTGAACTAAGTGTTTGTGCAAACTTCAGCAAAGTATTTGCCACAGTGCGTTTTTCACTGTGCTTATTATTCCTGCTTTTTTCACATGATTTGGCCCTTCGAACAGCTCTTAATTTCAGGGACTCAGACGTGGCTGTGCAAAATATACACTGAGCCCCAGCCACTAACTGAGAGTCAAAGTACCACATGGATATCAAATAACAAGATTTACATTTGCTTAAGTCAGCCTTGCCCAACACGGCATCATTAAGATCTCTGGACTACAACTCCCATAATTCCCAACAAGTAGGTTAAGAGCCATGTGGGCTTGCAGTCAAATATATCTGGAGGCATTCTGTTGGGGAAGGCTAACTTAGACAATTTATGCTCCACAAGCACCCTGTGCTACATTCAATGCTTTCACAGTCTAGTCTAACATATCTGACAACATGCTAGAACTCACCTTCTAACACATCAAAGACAATAAGGGATATTGGCTGCATCCTTTTCATCTAGCTCATGTTTAAGAATCATCGCAAAATGTAATACTATGCTATCTCCCACACTACTCTTTAGGAAGCCAGTCAGCATTTGAGCAGCCCCAAATGTCCCATTCAGTGTTGCTACTAAATATCTATTTGGGTATCAGTGTTTAGATGGCTATTAAGAAAAGCAGAAATGCTGAACCCAGTGGGCTGGCTATAAGTGAAACAATTCTGCAAACACTGATTAAGTGGAAGTGCCCAATGTTAATGGTCAAGTTTAGGCCCTGTGCCTGGGATCCTTGACAAAGTTGCTGAATATGCTGATAATGCATACAACCTAACATCATTGACAACCTTGTAAGGGATTCTAAGGTATCCTTCTCAGCTTGCAAATTGCTTCACTGGCACCTCTTTAAATAGTGTGCTACAAGCAGCTGCCGGGATGACTATGCAATCAGGCCATCTCTGTGAATGAGAAGCAGCCTCTGTCAGTAGAATTGGGCTTTCTCATATGCAAAAGAGAGCAAAATACAGTCAGAGAACTTCCAAACTACTTCATGTGTTGAATCAAACCTATGAGTATGTTGACCATAAGTTAGGCTTTGAGCCAGTTGATGGTCACTGTAATAATAAAGGTTTTCTGGCGCTGGGGGAACATTTATGTTTGTGTTTTCATATATATTATTTTGCTAGCAATTTAGAAATCTAAAAAAAAGTCACTGTCACTCTTATGAGCTAAATAAATAACTAACTCCTGACTACAAGGTCTAATATTGAGCCTGGAAGGTGAGTGACCATGGTGGGCATTGAGTAGAAAATCAATTATCTTTTTTGAAGTCAGTAACTACTTCAGAATTCAAAAGTCGCTGGTGTTCTGCTTTAGAAAATGTACCACTTGGTGGTCATCTAGAAGATGCTTCTCCTTTTTTCTAACTTTTTTCTAATCTGGGTAGAAATATTCCTGGGAAGCTTTGACCCCAGCCCCCCCCCCCCCCAAAAAGCAATTCCTTTCAGAATAACTCTTAGGCACGTATTAGAAAACTGCTGTCTTGAAAATATCAGCACTTTTTGCAGAATTAGTTCATGAAAAATTGCAATTCAGAACAGCTTCAGTTACACATGCAAAGCTGTGTATGTAGGCCTTCTGTATGTAGAGCACATTTTGTGCATGGATTCCAATACAATCCATACCTCACCAAAGCCATAGATGTAAGCAGAGCTATTCAAAACTTGAGTTTGCAACTAACCTGAAATACTGTTGTGGGGAAAAAAAAATCATTTGGAGTGAATGATAAGTAATAGTAAGAGTTTTCCAGTGCTTTGGGCTCTAAACCCAGAGGATGTTTCCATGCATCAGACTACATTGGCTTATGCTATTTTTTTGGCCTCATATGCCGGTTCTATGAGTTTCTGATGCTGAAATGACAAAAGTGTATTGCTTAGTCATAAGGAACTAGAGAACATGTTGGTACAACAACAAACCCCCAGTATATGCTTTCACTGCAGTTCATAACAGCTTGCTTGGACTGCAATTTTCCATAAACTGGGCCAAGTCTATTTAAGTAGCTGCACTGGTCTGTCATCTTGGTACTGTGCTGACTTTAGCTGGCGTTGGGGGTCCCGATGAAGAGCGATAAATGTGTGTAGGAGATGTTGGAGACAGTTTAACAGGGCTCATGGGCTCTGATGTCTGCAGTTTCCACAGCAGCTCTTCATTTGTCCTGCTCAGCCTCTTTTTTTCCTTGGTTTCCTTCTCAACATATTCTTGGAGATTAGCATTTTCTTCAGATAACTGTCTGGAGAAGGTGACAAGACAACATCAAACTTGACTTTCATAATTATCAAATACACACTTTGCCTGTTTTTGTTCTGACTAGCCCATTCCCTTTCTAGTCCTGCCTGCCTGCCATTGCTTTCATTCAAGATAAGTAACCCTAGACCATTTCAGTTGACAGCAGCTCGCAATATAGCGCTTTCATGGCCTGATATAAAGTAGATCTTACTAAATCCCTCATTCTACACTTTCATCTTTGGTTGATCTGTGCATGCTTGGTTCTTGCTCGCTACCTTACTGACTTCATGTATGAATGAGCCATCGCAAACATGTCAGCAAGAACACCGTCATCATCACCCAGCACTTCAAATATAATATTTTTCCTAGAGGTTTTTTTTTCACTGATAAAAATCATCACCATCATTTTCAAGTGTAGAGAAATCCAGCAACAGGCCTGCATGTAAATTAGACCTGAACAATTACATACTATGCATTTAGAAACAAATTGTAGGGGACATTTCTGAGAGACACTGTAGGAAATGCAGGAAAGCACGTGGCTTTGAATGTAAGAAGAATCTGGTTCAATCCACTAGTTCTTAGGTAACAGGCTACTCTGGGACAACCACTGCCAACTGAATATACACTGCTATAGTGATGATTAACTGATTTGACTCAGCAGAATATAGCATCATCGTTTCATAACTCTTAATGCCAGAAAAGTTAGTGCCACTAATTATACAAACATGAACCTACAGCTGTTGGCTTATACTGGATATCTGGCCCATCAGCATCCATTTTGCCAAGATTATAATCAAATAATCAGCTTGCTAGAGGATGAAAAAATGGGAATTATACAGAGAAGCCACAAGCAGTTAAAAGGCCCTTCGTGTTAGTGATGTGTCGTTGCTGATGCATGTTTTTTTGTTGTTATTGTTCTAAAGCATCAGCATCTGCCCAAGTAAAATTTTCTTTGGTAAACCAAAGCAAATAATAATCAACCCCAACTGTCATACTGCCTCTCTGCATCAGGACCATGTTTATGCTGCATCAAAAACAAGAAAAAAACAAAACAAAAAGGCTTTGAAAACAAAGAAAAGCATGGAGCACCACATACATAATAAAAGAGAGCCTAAATTGATGCCTATACCAAAGCAGTTGCATGTTAGCAAGAATGAGGGCTCCAAGTGTTAAGGTACCTGCTGCATCCTTTCTAAGGCTCATGCAGCTGCTTTAAAGACTGCCCCTGCACACGGGCGTGCATGCCGAGACAGTTGGGAACGCCTTTTAAAGCAGCTGGGTGACTGAGCCTTGCAAATATGCATCTGCCCTAAGCAGCTGAAGGGAGGAGCTTGTTCGTACTACTGTATGCAGGTTTTGAAACATCCCTTTTACATAGCACAGCTATAGTCGTCTGGCTGGGAAAGCAGAATGTTTGTGCCCCAATAAATATACATGACTCTTGAGGCTGTTTGTTACTTACAACAAACTGTTCACCTGCATTTTGTTTCAGAATTAGGATTGTTCATTATTTTTAAAGTCTTGCATATTTTGTAACTTTTTTTTGTTTTGTTTTTACTCCTTCAAAGGGCGAAGGATGACGAACTTTTCTGCCAAAGATTCGAAGAAGGAACAACCAAGCTAGGCAAAGCATCCATAACATTGGTGCAACAGGGCAATGACCTCTCATATAATGTGGGTAATTAAAGAGAAGCGAGGGTCAACATTCCGACTTCATCACGGCATTTTTGGCTCATGTACCATCACCATCACCACTAGCAAGTGAATTTACAAAATTTAACTATGGTCAACAAAGCACTAAATGAATTCATGAAAGTTGTAATTTGAATCAGGCAATCCTTGAATCATAGCTCAGCCTGCTAGAGAACAATCCTGTACACGTTTACTTCAGATGCTGGAGAATTTAATTTTGTCTTCACTTTCTAAAATGGATCTTTTCCATTCACATTTCTTGCACTGCTCCATGGATCAGAATGCTGTATACTTCAAGCAATATACTTATTTATTTTGATGCAATTAATAAGGATAAAAGTGAATTTTTCAGGAAAGTGTATGAAAAACACACATTTTAGGGAAAGTGTGTACAAGCTAAGTGTGTATTTTCAGTGCATTTTCCAATGAGCAAAAAATGGGATGGGATGGGCTATGACCAAACATATGTGAGATTGATGCCTTCCTATCTATTTGGAAATAATTCCTGCTGAATGCATATATAATGGCAGCGGTAGTCAGCATGGTATATGAACTCTCAATGTATAGAATAAAGTTCATATTCTTCTAATACTCTGATTCTCTTGAGCAATAGCAGCAAAGTGGATATAAAAAGGACGTAACTCAGATCCACTGATAGTTGCCTTTAACCTGCTACTCTGCAGAAAATGTTTAAACTGACCTTGTCACCATAGTGTTCTGATCAATCCTGACTTTGAGGTCTTCATTTTGTTGTTGAAGTACTTGAATTTTTTCTTCTAGAATTAAGTTCTTTTCTGCCTAAAGAGATAGGCAGACTGTTAGATTTACCACAACTGTAAGCACGTCTGTGAAGGGTGGGATGGGGGGAATAATGAAAGTATTTAGACAATATGATGCAACCCTGACCCCTTCTGTAAAGATATTGGGACAACACATGCATGTCCATAAGGGACAAAACTTGCATAGAATTTTGTCATTCTGTTGGATCCTATGGATGCCTCTGAATGCAAGCAATTTCTCCTGGAGAATTTTCCCAAAATATTGTGATATAAAATTTATCCCACAAGTCATTCCCACCCAGATCTGCATTAAACCACACAAACATTCACCTCCGGAATCCTGAACCCAATAATTAGAAAATTAAGATTACTGCAGCCACATGTAAGAGGCAGCCAAGATAGAGAAAGGTTTCCAAGGACTTCCCACTAGCAATTCTGTATTAGTTGCCGATCAAACGTTGTCATCAGAAAGAAAAGGGTAATTTTAGCTAGGAAAGGAGAATGTGACTGAAGTTTTCAAAAACCTGAAACACACTGATTGGAACTGATGAGAGTCATAGTCCACTGCATCTGGAAGCAGCCTGATTGGTCAAGGCTGTTCTGATAGATAAGCAATAACATACTAATCTGTGCCTTTTAGCCACTTTTCAAGTTGTTTCCTAAACAATCAGAAACAGCAACAACAACATGAGACATCACCAGTTTTTCTAGCTCCATGATCCTCTTTTCTTGTTGATGAATGAGTAAATTCTTCATCTCCAGAACCTGCTTTAGGCTCCTCATATCTTCTTCTAAATGCTGATATGGAGCCAGTGCAACCTAAGAGAAAGAAGAATGATATGAGAAGCAGCATTATTGGATCACCCACCAGAGGGGTCCCTTTGCTCAGTAGTATAAAAATAATATAAATTGGGCTTGTGCGAATCAGTCCTGATTCAGTTAAATTGGCAATTTGAATAGCCACGATTTAATTTGATTAAAGTAAAACCTGAATGCTGTTTGATGCAATTTAATGTTCTCTGAGGTTTAATCGGGAAAAGCAATTCATTCATAAGCTATGAAGGGATGATTCAAAATGCTTGTAGCTACTTCATGTTTTGACAAGATGGAATGAAAATAGCAGGGATGGTAGACTTATTTGAGGATATTAATCTACAAAGTTGCAGTCTTACAGCTTCAAGGGTTTCACCACAATAATTTTCTGAAATATTCTCCCTTTTAAGGTGGAATTAGCAGGGATGAGGAAAGGATAGCACAGCAATCTCCAAATTGTCCAGCAAAAAACATACAGAGAAGTTTGCTGAACCAATTTAAAAAAATGTCTATTCCACCTTAAAAACATTCAAAAAGTGTTTTGAAAGTAAGCTCTTATTTTTCAACTTGCTTTTCAGTGGTTCCAGGTTTGGCATGACACTTGAAAATGCCTATGGACTTGTCTCTGTAGGGTTATGCAGATTTGTTGCTTCTAATGGCTGGGTTTTGTGGGTGCCAGTGGATTGGCCTAACTAGTTGGCAGGCTTGGCCTTATCCATGGCTTCAGTGGGATGCCAGCTAGGCAGACTGTTGTTCTGGCAGACCCAATTAGGTCAAAACTGTGGCTTATTGGCAATACTCTATATTAGTTACTGACTTAGCAGAAGCAGACTGGCACAGTGAGGTATAGTGATTGGCAGGCCATGTAGAAAATAACCTTCACAGACTTGCCACCCTTTATTTTTTAAACTAGTAAATATTTGGGCTAGCACTCATAAGTATTAATCTGGCAACCACCTACTCATGGTTGACAGACAAACTTGACTCTTTCATGCAGAATTTTAAGTGTGTGTTACTGCTCAGGTTTGAGCCCAGATTCAGAGTGCTAAAGAGCTGAGTGGAACTCCAAGTTGTGTTGGCAGAACCAGCACAGAAGTGTAACATTCCACTAGCATAAGAGAGAAAAAAGTGAAGGGCTTGGGTCTGCCTGCCTGAAAGAAGTGGAAAGCTGAAAAAGCGATTGAAGAACAAAGCAATCTAAGCCTTGCCACCCGACCCCAAAAATGATCTGAAAGGCAGATTGAAGTGATAAATTCTTTAGCCAGCTTCTCGTGCCAATATCAGAGAGCCCTGACCAACAACACCTCACCACATGTTCTCCATGAAGATTGCCTCCAACAACACTACAAAAAGCCATTGAAGAGCCACTGACTCTGAAAGTACTCTGTAGCTATCTGATTTTGATTTGCAGATTTCTAACCCCTCAGAACTCCCTCTCAGATGGGAAGGTCAGCATCTTTGGCCTTTGGGTTGTTGTTGATGTTCTTTTGCAGGGAAGCGGAGGGTTTTTAAGGACCAGTTTTTACCACTCTAGCAACCTGTTTTCCATTTCCTCCCCCCAATATTTGGCTTAAGGGGCAAATGGATGCCTAAAGGATCTGCAAGTCATAAGGGATTAAATTCATCAGTTAATTCCAACCAATCCCCAAGAACCTGGCTAAACATTTATTTCAACTCTGCCCATTCAAGTGATGTGATGTCACCCTCCACATTCTATGAAGACCAGAAGCAGGGCACAAGGTCTTACTAATGGGTTATCTGCCTCCCTGACACCTGCACTTAATTAAAATTGGTGGTTTAGGCAGTGGGAGAGAGAGTTTTTTTAAAAGAAGGAAAGTAAAGGCAAGGAGAAGTTTTTTGGCCGTGGATGTTATGGCTAAAGGCATTTGGAAGAGGAAAACTGCATTTCCTGATTTAGAGAGGGGCTTTCTGAGTGTTACTATAGTTTAGGATTCAACGAAGTTGCTTTAAAAAGTTTTAGTGACTTTATGGCAGAGTATTCAAGTGGTCAGAATGGAACTTCTTCAAAACATAGACTTTTGTAACCTTACTCATTGACCACTGAGGCTTTAATCAGTAGGGCCTTTGGCCTGGACCAGTATTCATCTTGTAATCTCACTGAACAAGAAGAGCATCTCCTTTTGTATTTTGGAGTTACAGGGAATAATATAAAAATATATCTTGATTACCTCTAGTTGTTCTTCAGTGTTTTTCTTCAATGCCTCTTCAAATCGTTTTGCTTTGTCCTTTAGAGACTGGCTTTGAAAAGTGAGAGTATCTACCTGGTCCTGTAAATGAAATTAAATACAACCACTTGCCAATGATGATCTAATTCACTTCCAGGCAAACATTTTAGACATGTCCTCTGAAAAAAAGCAATTGTTTTGAGTAGAACCCAATATTGGTAATATAAATAGAGTTCTCTGAGCCTCAAGCCTCTGTCAGATAGGAGCTACCGATGTTGAGAGAATGCCCCACTGGCTCCAGCAATTAATGGGAGATGAGAGAGAGGAGAAGGATCTTCCCCACTGCAGTAGTGAACCTGAGCCTTATGACCATTTCCCTCCACCATTTTGATTACATAAAGCAGTATTTCTCAACCTCAGGAACTTTAAGAAGTGTGGACTTCAACTCCCAGAATTCCCCATGCTGGCTAGGGAATTCTGGGAGTTGAAGTCCACACT